AGTTTTATATTTGGAGACAGATTTAATGTAAAAATAAAAGACAGAGGGGTAATTCTCTGGTAATTCTCCAGAGAAATAGCATGCAGTAGTGAGCATTTTTCATTAGCAAAATTATATCTGACTTTTACTGCCTCTTCCCAGCCTCTCTCCATAGCATGGAGACAAAGAAATGTGCTGGGACTCCAGGAACTTCAACATTCTTGGCCTGAATGAGCTCCTCCAAACCCCACAAAGCTAACAAGAGGCCAAACACCACCGTGACTGCTACAAGTCCCAACAGGGCAAGACTCAGGAGCCATTACACCCCTTCTCTGCAGCCACCATTGAATTTAGCTGATGAGCAAGAAATTGAAGGGATTCAATGCTAATAAAAAAAAAAAAATGCTGAGCCTACAGCTTCATGGACTCAAAGAAGGACTGGAAGATGGCCTRAGGGTTAGTTCCCTTGGGACAGGTCCTGGAGACAAACAAGTAGCAATTAATTTCAGGTCTCCTAATTGTTCCATCTCAAGACAGCTCGGAATTTGCTTATGCTAGCTGAGTTCCCAGGAGGTAGGAACAGTGGCTGACTGTTCTGTGGAAAGAAGATTTTAATCCCAAAATAAAGCCAGGGGAAGCACAAGATGGTTTCACCTCTTTCCAGCCCACGTTTCTCACTGYGAGGGTTTTTTTTACCAGACACCCATAGGGTTATACAGACACCCATAGGTTTACCAAAGTAAAAYATTTCACATGAGAAACAAGGAGATGTACCTCAAAAAGCTCCCATCCCTCAACAGGGCTGGACAAGGGTTGCAAGCAGGGTGTTGATCACTTATAAGCAGTACTCTGGGCCAGCACCATTCCTTACTGGGTGCTGCATCCCCAGGCAGGCAGCAGGGAATGGGCTGCTGATCGCCCTTGCTTCTTGCCCAAAGTTTCACAGAATTTCTCCAGCATGAGGGAGTGTTGTTTCCCCTGCAAGCTCACTGCAGATAATTCAGAGTCTGCTGCGCTGCATCCAGGGTCCAGATCCCTGTTAGATGCAAATCCCCACAATYACAAATTGTAATTGCAGAAGCACCAGTTGCAGAAGCATTAGGTTAATCCAGCCCCCAATGCTCTGCAGCCTCTGTCCACAAGTCCCATGGGCATCAAGAGCCACGTTGCCAAGTAGCTGTTGTGTCTCACAAAGGAAAAAAAGGCTTCTGCAGCTGAAGCAATCTTAAAGCCTATTTTGTGCAGAAATTAGGGGATAATAGATGACCCATTTCCCTAGTATTTTCTCAGCTGCTACATAAGTGACTGAGASCTTAATGCCTTGTGTATCATGCTGCTCTCCCCCCAAGAAATAGAGCTTAACAGAGTTCCAAAAAAATACCAAATGTCAGATAATTCAGAATAAAGCATCTACCCACATCTGCCTAGCCCCTTTCTGACAGCAGACACATTTACCTCTACAGCAACAGAGAAAGAGTGGCCAGCTGTTCTGTGCCCTGCCCTAGAGATGGGATTTAGCTGTGCCTCTTGGAGCTGCACAGAAACACCAGGGAGGCGAGGAGGAGGCTGCCAGGGTTCACAGCATGCGTGGGGTGTTGGATCTCATGCTTCAGCACTTACCAGAGCTGAGGGCCTGGCTGCAGCACAGGGCTGTGTCCACCAGGATGAGGCTCCTACACACACATCCCTACAAGAGGCATTTTTATAGGCAAGAGAACAGCTCAAACACAGGAGGAGCCCACAGTCCTGAGACAGGAGGCCCAGAGTCACCCTGGCAGGTACAGCAATGAGGGCAAAAGGAAGCAGCAAAAACACAGGAAAGGAAAGAAAAACAAGCCAGCAAAGAAGGGAGGGCGGGCTCTGGCACAGGACAGGAGGGTTTAAGCACATTCAGCCAGGAGCAGTCCAGTCTGGAGAATCAATTAGGGGAAGATAATTTGTCTCCTTGATTAAAGCSTCCTTGGGGTATTGGCTCGTTGCTGGGGAGAGCAGCAGAAAGTACCTGCTCTGGTGAGAGCACGATCCGTGACTTATTACTGCAGTCTCCACAYAGCAGTCACAGGAGGGGAGGCTTAATGGGCAGAAGCAGACAATCACATTGCTTCTGTCTCTCAGACATTTCCCCYCAGTCACTGCTGTCTGTACTCAGAGCCAAATCGCTCCGAAGGGGACCCCAAGAGCCTTTCAAACTTGCCCCCCGTTAAGAAAGCTGCTGCTGCAGACACGACAGGAAAAACRGCACCTGAATGCTGAGGGCGGCAGCGGGAGCCGCGCCGGCTCAGCCGTGCCCTCCAGTGGTCCCCACTCCAGCCTGGCTCCCATCCCCACTCCAAACTGGGCTCTACAAAAAGAAGGTCTGAGGAGGCTTTGCACAGACTGGGATAAGGCTTGGGGCTGGGGAAGGTGCCCCTTTGCTCCTTTCTGTGTCCCCCACCCACCCAGGATCTGCCATGGATTGACAACACTGGGGAAGACAATTTCCAGAAGCCACAGGCTGCATTTATACAAAACAGGCTTGATTCTATGCTTGGTTATCCTGTATTCCCCACGCTGCCAAGAAAGTCTTATTGTAAACCCATACAAGCCAGAGAAGGCTGCTGTATCTCATGTACCAGTCCCTTGTGGATATAGGGGATTGTCATCCTGTGCACTGAGGTTCACCATTTCAATTCTCCCTGCTTCACCTGASCCATATGAATGCACACCTTCAGTGTGCACTGGATGCTCTATTCTGCTAGAACAAGTACTCCAGATCAAACACACAGATAAAATACCTAGCATAGTTAAAAGGATAACTTTTGTTGTGCTAGAGGAAACCTGAGACTTTCCCAGGTTTGAGGCTGGATAGATTTCGTACAAGATCAACCTTCTTTTGTGGTAGACTGTGCTACACCACTGCCAGTGGCTGGTGACAAACTATACCAAAACACACACCTTGTTTTTTCAAGACAGTCACAGAAATACAGCTCCCAGACAGCCTGGGCTGATCTCAAGCATCCCTGGGATTGRCAGGAGAAGGGAGACTCGCCAAGTGTCACCCAGACCACAGTTCACAATTGCTACAGCATCAGGTAAAAACTGCACTGCTGCTACAAGCAGTGTGGTGGATTAATTGTTCACAATCCCATCTTTGGGGCCCTGATAGTGGAGAGATATCAAATACCACCTTCAAGGCCCTTTGGTGACCTCCTTTGTGTGCTTTCAGACCAGTTATAATTCACCAGTACATCAGTCTCTGCCATTTGACAGTACAGACATGCACTGCTCCCCTTTGCCTCTCCTGTGATCCACTGAGGTGTAATGAGGGTCATCTGAAGTATAAATATTTAGTAAATAATACATTTTAGTTGAAATATTTTAGGTCTGAATACAAGTTAATCCATGCTGTTATTACCTCTTGCCATGAGAGCTCATTATCCAGATGCATGTTTGCAGATAATTTCAGCCTTGCACAGTGAATTCCCATGGGAAACACAAGGACAAACAGAAGTAGCCTGAGCAAAGTGTTGCTAAACCCAGAGCAGGAATTTGTGGGGTTGAGAATTGACAGGACAGGCCACAAGGTCTTTCCACCTCACGCTCCTACAAGTGCAGCTACAGGTTTGTGCCAGCCTGAATGTGAACACAAAGGGCTGTTGCCTGCACTGGTGCACATTTACTCCCTTGTGTCAACACACGCTTATAGGGGATTATTAAGGACTGAGATTTCCAGGATGCCATGAACTGCATATGAAAACCAAAGCTACAGAGGCAGCATCAAATCCTCTGCACAGCTCCAGCAGAGCCTGAGGCTCACAGGGACATTCTCACCTGCCACGGGAGCTCCTGCGGTGCTGCAGCCTCCTCCGAGGAAATTGCATGTCCCCATGTACCCATTGCTTTCAGGGACTGGCTGTGCCACAGGTGTGCAGGACACTACAGAGAGCCAGATAGGAAGAGTGGGGACCTTCGAAGTGGTGGTTAATGCTTAACCCACCCTGATCCTCCCAARCTCAACAAGGCACTTACAGAACCCCTGAGCACGTGATTGAGGGTCCTACTGGGTCTCCCATGTCTCTAAGGCAAGATGTGTCTGAAAGAGCAGCAAGACTGACAATTTACACTAAGGTATTAGGTTCTCCTATGTTACACCAACATACGTTCTACTCAATTTTGCAACATTTCCCCAGAAACTCCTGTAGCCCTACAACTCCCACTTTTCACAGCACKCTCACAAACCCACAGTCTGTCATAAAATTCTACACCCCACTCCCTTTGTGTACCCAGCAGCCCCAAAACACAGCCTTACCAGCTGCACACCTTGCCTACCTCCTCCTCACTCCACTGGCCAGGCAGACAGTAAAAGAAATGGCTGAAGCTATCTCTTAGCACCCTCATGCCCTCCCTGCCTTCTCACAGCTGAGCAGATCCCAGATGATCTGCTGACCACAGAGACCCAAATAGGCAGCCACTGGTGCTGCTTACTGACTAAGTGCTGCTTGTGAAGGCTTTTAAAGAGACATGCAGTGAATCYGTTCCTGGAGTGCAGTTTGCCTATCTATTGTTTTCCTGATAAAACATCCATTTCTCAGACATTGAACACGCTTTCTTCTGCAGCACAGATCTTGGTGTTCACCTGGAGAGTCAGCTCACAAACAGCCCCCACACACAGTGTAAACCAGTGCTCTTGGAAAGTTTGCTTGCCTTGGTTGTTTTTGCTTTCTATGCATGAGCGTCCGTACGGGCACATACAGACAAACCCTTTGACATCGGCTAGTGGGAGACACTTYAGCATCCTGTGTTTAGCCAGTTGTGGCAAAGTTTATGTGTAAAAGCTGAGAGTACACATGAAAGCCCCACGACAGTCTGCCCTGAGGTATGGTGCAAATGCTTATTTCCCCAGTGAGCTCTATTAACCCTTTGCTTAACATTCTAGCCCATGCCGTTAAAGAGTTCTCCCTGTCCCAAGCGCTCTCTCACTTGGCTGAGATGGATGGGAGCGCTCCCCTTAATGATCTCTGTCTCCCCTTCTCCACCAATAGCCTGAAGACCAGCCTGCAGAAGAAGGTGAGCCAGGACTCCATGGATTTGTCAGGGATCCCCCTGAGCATGCGGGATGTCCACCGCATGGCRTACTACCTGCAGAACAACGGGGACCACCTCACCTCGGTGGACCTGAGCTTCACGGAGCTCAACGATGACATGGTGCGCCTGCTGCTGCCCTTCCTCTGGGCGCTGCCCAAGCTCACGCACCTGTCCCTCAACGGCAACCGGCTGACGCGGGCGACCATGAAGGAGCTGACTGACACCATGAAGGACATGAACAAGTTCCCTTGCCTGGCCTGGGTTGACCTCGGCAACAACGTGGACGTCTCGTCCATGCCGCAGCCGCTGCTCGTGGGCCTGCGCAAGCGCCTCAGCCAGCAAACCACGCTGCCGACCATCTATGAGGCGCTTGACTGCGACTCTGAGATCGCCGGCGGGCACGAGGGCAGCCAGCCAGAGGATGAAGCAGCCGGAAGCACCCCGCCACGTGCTTTTTCTCAGCAGGGCTGCGAGAGGTGACTGAACAACGGGCCGGCGCTGGCACACTGAAGCCACCCCAAGGAGAGGTTTTGAGTACAAACATCAAGCAGAGGGCCAGCTTGACCGGCTTCCCTTGGCTCTTTTCTCTCGCCTTCCCTGACATCTCCCCCCCACCTGCTGTGAGACAAAAGCCCTGTCGTCCCCMCACAACGTGCTCCACTCCCTCCCCTCGCTGCCAAACCCATTGCCCACGTTCCAGAGAGGAACCAGTGACTTACAGTGAACCTGGTCCCCAGGCAGGGTCTCACTGGAAGACGGGAAAAGACCTGTCGGAGTCAAGAATATCCTCCAGCAGCCATTGGGTTGAGGGAAAGGGATGGGGGGGAACCTAAAACAGAAACAAGCTTCTAGTTTACTTCCTTTCTTCCTTTTCCTATGCACCTTGGAAACCTTGGGACCTGCAGCCTAGAGTGTGAAAGGAGGTAGCCCAAGAGCCTAGTGCTGTGGAGCTTAGTGGAAGGGCTCAGAAGCCAGAGCTGGAGCCCGGCAGTGTGTCTCCCTCTTGTGTCTGGCTCCTTTTGTTTTGTTTTTTTCCTATTGTGTGTTTTGTATGAACGTCTGAACAAAGGGACCTGGTCAGAGACCATTGGATCACATAGGCTGGGGCGGACACATGGGTTGGAATTGCAGCATCAGGATATTTGCTGTGTGACCGGGGTGAGAGGGAGGGGAAGGAGGTATGTATTGGTGGGAGCATGGGGGATGGGATGAGTTGGGATGGGATGGGAGGAGGGGGGAGGAGAGGGAAGGGGAAACGGTCTCGTGCATTAGTAGGACTGGTTTCAAAAACTGTGTTTTGTACTAAAATTAYAAGTTCCAAGGTACTACAATTGCAAGTTCCAAGTGAAATTGAGGAAAAGCTGACAGCTAACCTAACTGTGGCAAGGGAGGCGCAAGCAGCGAACGTGCCGGAGGTGGGCACTTCCCAGTCGGAAGCGCAAAACTTTGGCTCCTTGTGGCACGTTGCACACCTCGTAAAACAGACACAACGTGAGCAGCTGCATCACCATTTCCAGTGCTGTCCAAAACCCAAGCCACTGATGCAGAATTTCCAGTGTTTTCCACATTGCTCATGCTCTATGTAAACATAATAAAGAGTTCTCTTGGACATAAGCGTTAAGCACGTCTGAGTAACTGGGCTGTTTGCAAATCTTGGARTATGGACCAGAGCCCTCCTGCAGTGCCTGAGGGAGAGGATCAGGTACCATTCACATTGGTCAGAGAGGTTCATTCCTTTAATGAAAGAGAAACATGGTGTTCATTTGTGGCAGGCTGCCACCCTTCAGGTTGCAGAGGGCTGATAGAAATAAACTGATGAGATTTTGCTGATAAGTCAAGTCCTCTCAATTATCTGTCCCCACAGGAATTTCAAAAGTAGATGAGTTTTTGAAAGAGTTAAAGAAATGAGACATATTTTAAAGAAACATAAAAATCCTCACYCTTCTAAATTAATAATGGTAACTTTGCCTTCCTTTGCTGATTGTGAGTCTGAACACCTATAAACAACCCAAAGATGAAACCTCACACACATGGATAAAATCCACATGGAATAGAGACACCTTTCATGCTCTTTACTAATTTTACAAGACATTGCAAGATATTTTTCAAGTGACATGTTCCCTTTGGACCAAGGAAGGTATTGGTGGAAGGTATTGGTGTCTCTCTGATCAACCACCAAAAGCTCCAAATAAAACCAGTTCCCTAAGGGAGAAAGGTGGGATTAGAGACACTCTGTTGAGCATTACAACCTGATACTGCAAATGCTGGACCCAGTCCTATCTGCACTCCAGTCACAGGTGCAGGACCTCATAGCCTTCATGTTGTTAACCTGCAAAAAGGTCATCACCTGCTCTCTTCTCACAACTCATTTTTCCCTTCTCAGTGTAGTATCTTAAACAATCATAGAATTTTTTGGTTGGAAAAGACCTTTGAGGTCATTGAGTCCAATCATTAACCCATCACTGCCAAGCGCACCACTAAACCATATCCCAGAGTGCCACATCTACACCTCTTTTACATAATTCCAGGATGGTGACTCCACCACTGCCCTGGGCAGCCTGATCAATGCTTGACAACCCAGTCCTGCTGGCCACATTATGGCATATACAAGCCAGGATGCCACTGGCCTTTTCCACTGATGAGCTTTACAGTTGCTCTTCCCCAAGCCTGGAGCACTGCYTGGGGTKGCTGTGACCCRTGTGCAGGACCTGGGATTTGACCATGTTGAACCTCACACAATTGGATTTGGGCCATCAAYCCAACCAATCCAGACCCTCTGCAGAGCCTTCYTGTCCTCCAGCAGATCARCATTCCCACCCAGCTTGGTGTCATCTGTGAACTTATTGAGGATACCCTGGATCCCCAGATAATTGATAAARACATTAAACAGGACTGGCCCCARCAYGGAGCCCTGGGGAACCCCRCTAGWGAYCAGCYCCAGCTGGTTKTAACTCCATTTACCACCACTCTCCAGGCTMAGCCCTTGGTTTCCTTCCCTGCTGGGGAAGAGATGGTATTAATTTTTTCTTATTTTCCTTCCAAAATACCTTTCAGCAAAAATGAAAAGCATTTCAAATGTCAGCAAGATCTGCTTAAACTCTTACAGTCTAAGCAGAGCAGGCCTCTGCTCTGTGCCAAGAAGAAAACTCGAGCATGAAGCATTTAAATGAGGGCTTGGAGCTGCCTGGTGAGCCACTGCATATCTAGAAAGAGGGAGCAGTGCTGCTGAACATTTGGTCTTTGGCTCTGAGCACTGTCCCCCTGGGGCTCTGTATCAAGGCATCTTCACAGCTTTTCCATAACAGCAGCACCCCCCAAAATGAGGCAAGACCCTCAGTGTGCAGTGCACCCCTGACACAGCTCTTCCCTGCAGAGCCCCTGGCTCAGCCCCAGCCCCAACCCCTGCTCAAAGCTGTGCTTTCAGTCTGAGCTCTGCTACCCAGCAGGACAGGGATGAGACATTCAGCCCCTTGCAGGGTAATTCTGTGCTAATCACTGGCTGTGCCACCTGCCAGTTGGCAACTCCAGGAGCTGGAGATAAAGCAGGAGACAGACTGGTTCAGCTGAGCAGCTGTGACATTCGTGTTTATTCCTCTATATGCATTTGGTTGCTTTGCCCCAGAAAGCTCCCCGTGGAGAACTGGTTGCAAATAAGTATGTGGAAATGCAAATTAGAAATCCTGCTACTGCTTCTTGGATGAACTTTGATGGGCTGCAATTTAGCTGTGGAGAACACACCCAGCTACTCCCTGCCAGCTCCTGATCACACGGACAGGTGGGGGACTCAGGGGAGCACACTGCATCCAGCTCCAAAGCTGGGAAATGCTCCTGTGGCCCCTACAGATGAGGTGCACACCCAAGGATCAGACCTGGAGGTCCCAAATCTGAAATTTTCATAAAAGCTCAGYTCGCCAACCAGAGAGGATGACACAAGCGAAATGAGCCTTCCCTGGCACTGAATGAGAAAKCTCAGGGCTCTCAAAGGGGATTAAAGGGATGAGCTGCTAATTCAAGTTTCCTCACAGATACCCAGAGGGASAGCTTAGTCATGATCCTAAATCAGGGGACACCTGCCCTGCAGTCAGYCTGTCTCCTGCCAGGTAACAGAGCAGGACTGAATACTGAATACTCTCCTCAGGAGGTACTTGCTCATGCAGGGCTGTAATCTCAAGTATTTACAGTAGCACTCAGTATCAGACTCAGACACCAGGCTCTCTCCATTTTCAGTTTCCCAGCCTCCCTCCCTGTGCAGCCTAGGATGGGACCTGTGTCATGTAGCAAGGAGGAAACTGCAGCTGCACAGGTGGTACCACAGCCCATTCYCCACCTCTCACCAGGTGATCAGTCTCAGCACAGCTCTCAGTGAGACATTCRAGCACACCTTTCATCAGCAGCCTGCTGGAAGGAGAGCTCACCAGGTGCAAAGCATCACCCTTGAAGATGCTGGCGAGCACCATCAGCTGGGGCTCTGCTGGGCTCAGCAGCAGCAGAGAGCTCCAGCAGCAGCAGAGAGCTCCAGCAGCAGAACAGAGCTCCAGCAGCAGAACAGAGCTCCAGCAGCAGCAGAGCCACAGGGAGCTGCACACATGTGAGATAACGAGCAGCAGCACAGCTAATGAGGTCACTGGTGCCAGAGAGCAGAGGGAAAAAGGAACACAAAAGACATTTCCCATTACTCCACCAGAAAAGCACTTGTTCCCTCCCTTCCTAAGAGAACCAACACCTTCTTTGCATCTCCATCCTGTATTTTACCTCAGACTCTGASCACAAAACCCAGGAAAGCATCTTGGCATGCTCCAGGTAGCAATATGCTGAGCACTGAGTTCACCACAAGCCTCCCTCATTTCAGTAACTCCATCTACATAAGTGGTAATCATTTTGTTGAGGTAAGGATGCAAAAAGCAGCTGGAAGCACAGGCTTGTCTGATCTATTTTTCATTTCACACACTTCAAAACCTGTCAAGGCCCTTCTCTTCTGCACTGCCAAGGCTCTTTTTTCAACTCCTAATCCATTTCTCATCACAAGCACTAGGAAGATAAAGGAGTTTGCACTACTTGGGGCAAGTTGACAAGCTCCTTAGTGGACAGCTGCTGACAAAGATGTCAAAAATATAAATTGTTTCATCTTAAGAAAACAAACAGGAGAAGATTAAACATTGCCTTTCGAGATTGCTCTGCTCCCTACCAGAGGACATGATTCACAGCTCGGAAGAGGCTCAATAGGATYTCTTACCATGCAGTGCCCAGCAGTGCAGGTGACAAGCCCCCAAGGACACCTGGCCCTGCTACCCCAGTGTTCTGCAGATGGGGACATTATCCATGGATAAGAACCTATTTTGCAGTTTACCTGCATTAAACAGGTGCTCTCAAAATAGATGCAGTAGCTGGTTTAAGGCTGCCAAGAGRCAACTCACTAAACAAAATAGGCTGGAACATTGTTAGCTGAGGCCAGTGCTCTGGGAGGCCATAACTGCATCTGGATCTTCTTTGAGACACCAGACACTCAACTGAACCTCTGCAGTTCCTCTCAGATCTGACACTATCCCAGTTCAGCAATGCCAATTCAAAACTAGAATAGCCACAAAACACAATTACTACACRGGAACTCTTCTTCAGCAGAAGAGATCAGAGGAAAGTCAGCTTTTCTTCCATTTACTCCTTTTCCCAAAGCCCAGCACTCCTCCTGCTGCATCCMAACTGGCCTCAAAAGCAAGTGAACCACAAAAGCATTGACATTTCTTTCTACAGCAGCATCAGGTTCATTCTGCTTGCATGCAGAGGRTGTCACAAAGGTGGAGGAGAGATACTTCCCTGCTTTCTGATCAGCCAGTTCCTCTGCTTTTGGGAGAGTTATTCCTCCCAGTCCATTTTTGTGTCAGTCTGCAACACATTGGACACAATGATGGGAAGCATTTGGAAAACTACCAAAAACTATGTGGGCCTTATTCAACCAGTGTAACTCTCCTGAAACACATGGGATCTCAACAAGYACAAACATGGCACAGAAAATGGGAAAAAGGCTCTTTCCCAGACTGCAGAGGCAGCTGCCTTTGGGTGTCCATGTCAAACTTCTGAGCAGAGCTTTGCWCTTGATCCCCTGAAATCTTTTGGTTTGCAGAGCCAACAGTTTGATGTRTGCACCTTTGTCTGAACTCTGCTGCAATTGAAAAAACTGAGCAAGTCAGAACCAAACTGAACATTTTACCAACAGTTTTTCAGACACTGCAACAGAAAAAAAAAAAGAGGAGTGGAAGGCACCAAAGGAACAGGTTTGACATTTAACCAGATACTCAGAGATATCAGCCCAGAGGGTCTCCAGGTCTYCTTGCCTAGGTCTCAGCCCTAGACTGGCCCATCTCTCAGCTCTAGAAGGAATCCCAGTGTTTTACAGTGTCACTGTTAGCCCCCAGAGMTCCTGCTAGCACTGGGCCAGGTGCTGTGGAGCTGGGAGAACACTCAGTTCCCACATGCAGGACAGCAGGATGTCCCCCCAGAGCTCCTTTCCGAGGTGTCCAGCTCATCCAGGCACTGCAGGGYCAGTAAAAGCCAGGCTCAAATGAGGCCACAGAGATAAAGTGAGGTCTCCTACAGGGACCCTCCAAACAGCCTCCAGTCAGAGGATTCAGCACGTCCCATGGTATAAATCTTTGCCCAGATTTAGGATTAGACTTCATGTATTTGGAGTCATATTCTGACATGAAAAACCTTTAATGAGTTCTCTAGAGCTTCATCCACTTTCTCCATGTCAAATTTGGATCATTAACCAGAAAAAAATAAAAAGGTTGCAGTGAAAAGACAAAACAAAGACAGCCGATGCTAACAAATACCAAGAGAAAAGGAAGAAGCAACATTTCTTCTGTGTGCAGCCACTCCTTTTCCCAAACCACAGCACTGCTGCTGCTGTATCCAAACTGCCCTCAAAAGCAAGAGGTGAGCAAGACTGCAGGCAAATGACACACTCCTGYCTGTTTCTGAGGATGCATCTGATGTGCCCTTTGATATAGTGCTCTTCAAAGGGGAACAACATTGACTTATGGCTGAGCTTTGCAAAAAAAGGCTTGCTGTGGAGCTGTTTCAAAGACATGAGACAGAAAGGAGTTCATTTGATCACGAAGCAACAAACAGCAACACCCTTTTGCTAGAGAAAKGTCCACATGCCAGTTCTGTGTCTCAGCTAGGTATTGTGTCATGGGAAAAAAACCCTATTCACCCTACAGTTTACTCAAAATTTTAGGAGAATGTAAAGATAACAGTAAGCATTCCAAAATGCCACCACATAGGTCTATGCATTATCACAGTATCAGCTTCACAGCATGTCTGCTGAGGGTCATCAGCTGCAGTGCTCCAAAACCCCTCTGAGGCCGTGGGCTCCACTCCCGCCCTATTAACATTTTAGGTACCAAGGGACAAAATGTAATTTTTGCCTCACAAGCAGTGGTTTACTCAGGGGTAGATGTACCAGCATCTCTYCACGGAGCTGGAATTAGGGCAAATCTTCAACAACAAAACAGATTTTAAGTCCCCAGGCAAGGAAAAATGAAGAACAAATTAAATGCTCACTGCAAGCAGTTCACCAAACAAAAGAACAATAATAGTGTTTTACTGCAATTCTTTTCATTTCTCCCAGCATAACTACACATCTTCTGGATACAATCTGTTTCTTTGCCAGGGTTTCAGCATTCTCCCCTGAATTAATGATGCTGGAAATTCTCCACTTTTCATAGACTCTGGTAGTCTCTGCTGAGCACCAAGAAGGCTGCACAATACTTGCTTATGCAATGACTGGTCCTGTGCCAGGAATAACAGCCTGTCTATTAGGAACAAGCAACTCRCACACAAACCCCAAATACTTTTCCCATTAAATGTCTGAATTAAGTGGCATAAACTCACCCCAAACCTACTACTCATACTCTACACTAATGTCAGTCTCTACATGACTTAAATAATCCCACACCCCGGTCTGTGGGAAACAGTTACCATGAGCAGGGAAGGGTGGCACTTCCATACTCATCACCTCCAAAACACTCCTGACTCTATCAAGAGCTCTTATTACAGGTCCAGGCAACAACAGGACACCTGAAGAAGTCAAAACACAGCTTGACCCAGAAAATTTTTGCAGAAAAGCACTGCTGTGGCTACTTCAGGCACCAGCACCCRAAGTCATCTGGTAGCTCTCCTGTCTGCAGGCATGAGCAGGTGGAGAAGTATCCYCTCACTTGCAAAGTGATTTGCCTCACACTGACCCATCAGCATTTGCTTCAAGGCTATTCCAGTTCATGCTTTAAATGTGGTGTTTCTGTATTTCCTTCCAAAGAAACACTGAAGGCAGGAGGATCCTATAAAGTTTTATCTAATGTAAGAAGAGGAAGACCAGGTCTTACTGTCTGAAGTTTGGCTGCAATAAGGTGCAAGTTCAGATGTAAATTTTTGCTTCTGTCAGGATGGAAACATCAAGGACCCGTGAGAATTCTTTCCCCACTTTTGACCCTTGGCTGAGAAATAAACAACTGAACTATTGACACTTTATTGTAGACCTCAGAATTCCATCCMCTGCTAACTTCCCAAATCATTGCTCCATCAGCCTTTCCATCCTTGCTCACGTTTTACTGGCAAAAGGAAATAAGACACCTCTATTTTACAGGAAACCCCACTGTAAWGCTCAAGTAGCAAAGAGATACAGCTCGGACAGTTATCCTGACCCAGAAATTCCCATTTTCCACTCTCTTCTGCCCTTCYAGAACAGGTTTTCTGAAGAGCATTGAAAAATGAACCAAAGAAAAGTACAGCTTTGATCAAATGTAAGACACAATTGGAGAGAAGAACTGCACATGTACGGGATGAAATTACCTGGTCAGTGAGGAAAGGTCCTACAGCTCTGTACAAAGAAATTTTTTCCAAGTGCTACTTTCTCTAACTCTTCTCTGATATTATGTTCTGCTTTCATACAGAGCACAGGTGTTTTTTGGACCCTGGAAGACTGGGTGAATTTCTACCTGCACCTCTCCACACACCGTTTTGCATGGCTGCAGTATCAATTCTCTGTTCCACGAGTACTTCAAAGGCACCAACACTGGTGTTATCAAAGGGACAAGCCTAGAATAAGGCTTTAGGCCAGTGCTTGCCTCGCTCTGTCACAAGCAGGAAGCCAGGGAGAGCCCTGAACCCACTGAATAGCATGAGATTTACAAGCCCACAYACAAAGGATGGCAAAGAATGAAAAGTAATGCTGCAATCTGTGACAAAAAATAAGTGACAAATAAGTGCAGATGTTAAAAACAGCTACATCTCTCCTTAGTATCTGCCATCCCAGAGAAACAGATTGCTTAAGTAACTGAGCTGAGGAATCTACGCAACATAAGCGCATATACCTAATAACCAACTACCAGGGAAACACAGCATCAATCAGCAGTTGGAATAACCCAGATGTGTACAAAGCTGGCACTCTGGAAACACTGAAGAAGAAAGAAAATGAGCTATTTTCATGCTAGAKTTTATCCTAGCCCTTGAGTTTATGGATTTTATAGCAGAAGTCATGTTTCTTGCATTTTTCTCTTCCAGAGTGTTCTGGTACCTTAAGCTTCATTCTCTTCCCAACAGAGCCATCTAGTGGGTGAAACATCGTTTGTGAGAAGGAAATTTTGATTTATCACACTGTAAGTGTAGCACACATCACAGGAAGGATCTGCAAAGCAGCCTGTAACAAACTAGCATTCCAGTTACTCTGGTCAGAAAGTGCCAAGTGATGTTTGCCTCTTCTGAGACTTATTCATGGGATTTTTCTGAACAGCTCATCACAGGTTCAGCCTCAACCTGAAGCCACAATGCAAAGCTTTTTGTTATGCAAAATCTAGCATCTTCTTCAAAGCTGATATGCATTAGAGATGTTACTTCAAACTTCTKAATGCAGATAGTTTGTTCCACCAAACCTCCTGAGGAGGGTTACTGTTTCTGCTCAAAATTCAGGTTGTCCTCTGCCCTCAATGCTGCTGAATGCCATACCCACTGCTCCTGAGAAGAGCAGCTTGCGATTGCTCAAGGAGGAACAAAGACTTGAACAAGCAGGTGAGCCAATCACCATTAGTGGAAACGGTCCCTGTTTGTGAAGACTGTTGTCTTTTGGACATGTTACTCAGGAGAAGTGTAAGATGACACTACAATGCTTTTATAGTTAAGCTCAAGTGTCCCTTAAATATGTTCTGAGAAGGTTTCCACTGCAAATATTTAGGATCACTACTACCCAGAAGAACATGCAGCAGGGTTTTCCCTATTGATGTTAGAGCAAATACAGCTTTATTTACACACAATTCAACAAGTTAATACATTAGTTCAACTTTCCTGTCTGCACACAAGGGAGAGTCTTCACAGCATCTGAGCAAGACCAGCTCTTTTGTGCATGTGCAGAYGGGTAAGTGACTGTATGCAAGTATGTGAATAGGTACAGAGCGGTTACATTTAAACATTTCAACCATTTAWGTCAGTAAAAACAACCACACTACACTTCAAACAAAATAAACTGAAGTTAGAACTACATCTGGTTTCCTGCAGATCAGCTGATYTATACACAGCTGTGTATAGATAATAAGAACAAAAGCTGATCRTGAGTTTTGTTCAAAACATTAGCATTTGTATTGAGTCGTGTTTAATGTATAACTATTTATAAGACTTTYTTCAAACACCTGCACTGTCTTTCAAATTTACAAAACATTTCTATTTATCCTGGAAAATGCCTATTTTATGTTGTTATCTTCTCCCAGACACAGGGAAAAACTGCTAAGAAAAGATAGGTATTTTCACTGCAAATATAGACTCAGACTATCAAAGTTGTGTGTTCCTAATGAAAAATTCTCCCTATATCCAAAAACAAAATAAGAAATGCAAGAATACAAATTGAATATACAGATCTGAAGATGGACCTCTAACTACTGTAGGTCCATATAGAGCAAAAGAACACAAGTACCCTGCTTCTCAGGAAGCTGCCTGTTTTGCTGTATTTTACATAAATGTAGCTGCTAATAAGACTTCATCATGTATGACTTAAAATTTGTCATTAAGAATGCCTTCTAATTCTTTAGAGAACAAATGACAACAAGATTAAACAAGAAAAAGGAAACATTAATGATCATTAAAAACCAATGCATCACACAAAGTGGTCAAACCTAGATATAATGAATTCCACTATTTTCCAAAGGTGGCTTAAGTTTGAAATCAACCTACAGTGTATTTGTCCAAGAATTGTCCTGTCATGTAAGAGCAGACGAGTTTTTGTCAGAAACATTTATTAAACAAAACTGATACCAATGCACACATAGTCAAGTTAACACCCCTAATAAAAAAAACAAGTCGGTCAAGACCAAAATTATCTTCGCTTCTGGAAGATGTTGCCACGGCCCATACCACGGCCTCTTCCTCTTGCAGCCACTGAAGAAAGAAAACATCAGGGATGACATGAATTTGACATACCTGCATATTTAACTCAACAACTGACAAGCAAAACATCAACAAYACTCAAGGTCTCTTGCTCAGAAGCAAGGAAATGCTCAGAAACTKATGTGAGAGCAAGAAGCTTCCTGTGAGAATAACCAGAACCTAATGGTACCAGTCTGGCTCCTCAGAACAGCTGCAGTAAAYATTCATACAACTCAGGTTCCTTCTGACACATCAAGCTGTGTCACCCAAGAGATTTGAAACCTCACACTGGTCCTAGGTTTTGCAAAACAACTCGTAGGTTACTCCCCCACAAAAATGTTACTGCACACTGAAGTTAACCAGGGACTTTGCAGCACATGATTGTTACTCAACTACCTAATAACTAGACTGATCCCCTGAGAAAGGCACMAATGAGAGTGAACTACAGAAAAGCTAATAATTACAGCTTCCCAGTAGCTTAAGTATCATTTTTAGAACTAAAGCTGTTTTCCTACAAAAGCTTAACAAGAACACCCCAATCATTCCCTAAGTATTCCAAACAGCTGGTGGCCAAAATTGCGGGAAAACAGAACTCTTTTAACAGAAGGGCTTTGTTTAACATGACCCCTCACTACCTCTAATTATTGCAGCATCAATATTACACTAATAATAGTAAGGTAGGTAAATGCAACAGTTTGAGTCTTGACTCTCACCATAAGGTGAAACATACAGAAAAACATTGTATGAACCAGTGATCTTTTCACTTCTTACAGATCTCAGTGATTGAGGTAAGTTTTCCMATTCTACAGAAATATAGGGGGAGGGACCGTGAAAAAACTGCACATACCTTGAGCTTTGAGAATAGCTGCTTTCCCTCGCCCAGCTCCAGAACCCTGGTTTTTATTCTTCATGCTCTTTAGCATAGGAGCATTTTTCAACATATCTGGTAAGATGAGAAACCGTATCTTGCTGCCTCTGATGTACACCTGCTCGAGCTGTGCCACCCGTCCATCCCTGTACGTCACTGTTATGTTGGACATCTGGAAGGTACAGATCAGTCAGTGCTCAYACACCTCAGCTGTGACACATGGCATCACGACCATTCAAACATACTCCATGCCTGCTGCCCAGGATTTATACTTTCTCCCCAGTTTACAAATCAGTTTTATCAGCTTCATAATTTTTGTTTTCTTAYATGCGAATAGTTTTAATAAAGCTGTTCTAATACTATTAAGAAAGCATTCTGATTTTAAYAATGACTTGCCCAAAGTCAAAATTAGGCCCTCCTGGAATGGCTAAAGTAATGGTGATTAAATAAGTTTCAACTTCTGAAATCAAGGCTTATACTTGATATACTTATACTACTTATCAGTAGCTTTAAATAAAGAACTCCAGAAAAACGCTGTTCACAGGACAGAATGTAAAAATCTCTCATCTTACTGACAGGGATGCCCAACCCTATTCTAAAACTAGATAYAAGCTCTGGCCTCTTTGAAGCACTCTAATGCTGAATCCACATCACCATGGTAAGAAGCAGCAGCAAAATTTTCTCTATCCCATGACTAAATCCAACAGTCCTTTAATGAAACTTTCAGCCTTCCCATGCCCAGATCAGCCAGACTTTCCCCCATCTGTGTCATGCAAAGATACCTGGCAATTCATGTTGTCTTCAGCTTCGATAAGTTTGCCTCGATAAACTTCTCCTGTATTGGTCTCACATGTCACAATGTGGCCCTCGGCCTCGTGCAGGACCTTGATTGGCACCCCAATCGACATGGCTGCAGTGCTGTGGCTCTACACCTGAGGCAAAAGGAAAACAAAAGCCATTATTACAGAGAATGGAGGTAGAATAAGTTCCACCTACATAATCCATCATGTTCCCCATTAGTGTAAAGCACCAATTTTCTCACATTTAAACACAACATATGCTTTGACTACACATCAATAACACTTCCCCAGAGACAGACCCATTGAGAGATTTTAAATATCAATAACTAGTTTTTCCAGATCTCTTCCAGGAAATTCACTTTTCAGAAAGCAAACGAACCACTCGTGCTCAGTGACAAGCGCCCCAGGTGCATCCTCTAACAGTCCGGCCGGGCTGACCCCTGCGAGCCCCGTGGGCAGCACGGCCGCGCTCGGGGACCGCAGCGCCAAGCAGCGGGCCCGCCGTGAGGGAAGCAGGCCCACCGCAGCCCTCCCGCACACCGCAGCCCTCCCGCACACCGCCGCCCCGGCCCGGCCTCCTCAGACCCGCAGCGGTTGCGGCGCCGCTCGGGCACGCCCCGGCAGCGCCCGGGGAGCGAGAAGGCCCCGCGGGGTCCAAGGCTCGGAGCCGGCACTCACCGCCCGGCGCTGCCCGCGCTCTCCGCTAATGGCCTCCGCCGCCTCCCGCCCTGCTCCGCGCGCCGGAACCGGAACGCGGCGCTGGGGGCGGTGCGGCCTCGTCCCGTCCGCTCCCGGCCGGGGCCAGCCCGGCAGCCCCGCGGTGCCCCGTCCCAGGGGCAGGGCTGCGCGACCCCCGCCCGCCGTGTCATGCCCCTGCCCGCCCCAACGTCCTGCCGCTCTCTCCGCCGCCACGGCGCGGGGCAACCGCCCCGGGGCCCGGCCCCCCTCAGCCCCCGCCTCCGGGAGGAGCCAGCGCCGGGCCCCGGGGCCGCGCCGCCGGCTCGGCGGGGCCGGCAGTGAGCGGGCGGCGGGTGCCACCGCCGCCGCCATGAAGAGCCCCCGTGAGGCCGGGGAGCCGCCGCCAGGTCAGTGGGCGCCAGGTCGGTGGGGCCTCCGTGGGCGGGGGGGACTGCCCCGTGGAACGGGCCGGGGAGGGGGCCCGGCGGCGGTGGGGTGCGGGCGGCTCCTGCGAGCCCCGCCCGAGACCCCGGCGGCCTCTCCATCCCTCCCGAKCCGCGGTGCTGCGAGTTTCGCCAGCAACAGCAATGTGGATTTACCGGCTCCGTCGGTAAGGTGGTGGTGGCGGGGACCTGGCAAAGCGTAGAGGGGTTCGCAGGGTGCTTTACACGCAYGGCATAAACAGGCTGATATCTCGTCCCGGGACAGCCGACAGCCATCGCTGAAGAGCTTCGAGTGTGTTGGCGAACAGGTGACTGGAAGCTGGACGGCCAAGGAAACTTGTTACTGCTCTGTGAAGCTTTCACGTAGAAAACATGTACCCCTTGGTTAATRTGGGACTTGACAGAAGCCCTGGCTGTTAACAAAAAGGGGACAGATTCAAAACATGACAAGAAAAAAATGATAATAAAATACTTAAGAAGTCCTGTTTTGAGGACAAATGAGAATTCTTTTTTTTTTTAATTTGTTTTTGTTACAGTACTTGAGAGGACCTTAAGTTTAAATGACAAAGATTGAATATTATCAACTGGTATGCCATTCTTATAGTAATGATTAAACAGGGGCACAACTAGGAAAAATATAACATTATCTTAAAAGCTCTAGAAATAATATTACATCAAAACTAGACCAGTCCCCGTGATGTCAAATGCATTTTTTATTCCCATCATAAAATGTAGCTGACCTTRTGAACAAAAATTCTCAAAGGCTTTTTCTAGATTAAAGGTTACTGAGAAAAGCCCTTTGTGATTAACTCACTTGGGTCAATGCTGAAGTAGCAATGATAGGCACAACTCTTCAAGTCCTGCCAGTGGTGAGGGTGTTCCTGAAACTGAAACCACCACACTGCCAACTCCATAAAAATAAAAACTGAGGCAGAGGATGGATCTACTTGTATTTTGGGACTTTTTGGTAGAGATAGTTCATTTTGCTCTCTCTTTTTTGACAGAATTAATACAAAAGGACAACTGGTGCCACTTGTGAGTTTTAACTTGTTAACTYTGTGAGTTTTGTTAAATTTATGTAAATTACCATCCCTGAGAAAAAAAGACATCTGTAGAAAAGGCTTAAATCTGTGGGACTTCTGAGACATCTGTGCCCAGACATCTTTATTGTGTGTTTTTTCCCAATTTGGTTTTAACTCTTGTGGCACAGAAGTACATTCAGACACAAGAGAAAGGATGAATASCTGTGTCTTATCCGTGGTTATCCAAGAGGAGATACAGCTTCATGGTTGAGGGACATCACCCCACCAAAAAGGAAAAAAAAAATTAGAAAAAAAATCCAAAGGAAAAAGGGGCAGAAAGGCAGCAATCCAAGTGTGGAACAATAAAGGAGTATGAGATTAAAACAAATGCTTRCCTGTACAGAAATACTGAATGTTCCCCTAAGAAAGAAAAAAAATCTACCTGCCAATCAAAGTAAGAACATATTCCTAAGTTTCCATGGCTGTAGTGCTGAGGACAACCTGACTTCAAGTGGCTTGGAAAAAAACCTGTGGACTGACATTGTTCTTGTTCTGCTCGCACAGTTGACTGCATCCAGCTGAAAGTGCCAGTGATTCAGCAGCTGTACCACTGGGACTGCGGGCTGGCCTGCTCCAGGATGGTGCTTCAGTAAGTGGCTCTCCTAGTGTGGGAAATCCCATTCCATGGGGAGGGGATAGCAGGAAGCAGCTCCCAGGGAGAAAAGGTGTGTTGAGCAGCAGTTTTTGAGGTACCCTTGGAYAGTGACTGCTGCATGGGCCTGGCTCAGCTCTCCAGCAGGAGCAAAAGAAAACATAAATTGAAGTGAACTTTGGACCCTTTTGAATAATTGACTAATTGGATAGATGCAGAATACCTACTCAGCTCTGTGAACTCTGCAGGCTGGCATGCATAAGCTCATAGAAAGTACTGTCTCTTTCCTGTTGTTACAATTCAGAGCTGATAGTTAGCACTGTGACTCACCCAATTCCTGTGTTTCCAAGCGATGGTAGGTGTATCCCAGTTTATGAGTGTGTGCTGTACCTGTACTACCTCTGTCCTGCTGAGCCCCCAACCTGTGGATGAGTGTTTGTGTTCCAGGAGTAGTTTCAGCTTCAAAACTGTGTTGCCCTTTGGGTTTGGTTTTGGTTTTTTTTTTTTTTTTT